GTGTGTGTGTGTATATATATATATATATATATATATATATTCACAAACAAATCTTTAGTAAAAAATTAGGGATGCATGTGTACCTGGCTTGGGTACAAGTCAATGGGGTGTTCTGTGTCGAAGTTAGGCATCTAAGCCGTAATCTTTGTGGAAACTAATGTGGTACTGAAATTTACAGTCAATAATTGGTTTAGTTATAAATAAAAAAAAAAACGTGTTCCGAGCAACAAAAACTGAACACCCACTGAAAATCAGGGATTCGGAGAACAATAGGGGTTAATAACAGACATGGCTTGAGAAGGGGATTTCTGGTGAAGGTGGGGTTTTGAGAACAATAGAGGTTAGGGTTTGAGAAGTTGAGGCTAAGCATTGAAAATTGAAAGTAAAAGTTTGATGTTCTGTTGGTGATTATTTGGTTAAATGTAATAAACGTCAATTTAGCTTTTGTTTCTAATTTTTTGTGTATGTTGTTGTTTGGGGGGGGGGGCAAGGGGAGAACCCAGTCTCGGTTGACACCCGACCCCGGCTGAAGCTTAGTGACCCGGACCCGATATTCGACCAAATTTTACTACCCTGCATCCCTAGTAAAAATACTTCATTAAAACTGATTTTTTTGTGTACAAAAGACTTGTAATGTTTACTAAAAGTCTTTCAAATGTTGTGAAGATACACTTGTGTGTTAAAAGTTATAGTATGGAAACTATAACAAGTACATAATGGTTATGGGGTTGGTCGTTATGACCAATCTTGTAGCGAGATAGTTAAAATAATTTTCATGAATACCATGAGAAAAACTTTCAAATTGAAGATGAAAGAGACAGTACTCTGTACTGAAAACATAATATAATATGTCATAAGTTAAAGCTTTACCATTGCATTGGTTATAAATTATATAGTCTAAAAGATCAGAAAGAACTATTTGGAATTTGTGAAAGAGAAGATATGATATGTGGGTCTGAATATCTAATTTATGATTCCATAAACAACTAAGAGCTATAAAAATTACTTTGCCTTAGTGATATCTGTATCGTAATGAGTAATTTACATTGAATTCCATGCTTCAGAGAAGGGTGGTAAGTAAATTAGAGAACAAATGTTACAATTCTCATACCAGGGAGAATGAGGATGTTTTTAAATATATTCTTGTAAAATTAACACCTTTAAACTTACATTAAAATTTAAAGCTACACTGCAGGTCATGTGATATTCTATTGTGACTTGAATTTCATCTAATCTTACAAGTTTTTTATGACTGTTTTGTCCTGCTCCTAAAACAGCTTGGTTTGTACTTAGAAACAATTTTTTAAAAATAGAAACCAAAAAACTTGTGTAACCTAGTTGTGCTGGGTTTAATGTTTAAAGTACGAAAGCTATATATATATTGTTCATGATATTTGTTAGGATATTCTTAAAAATTTCTTTATTTTGTGCCTACTGTGGGCTCTATAGATCAACTACACACCGAGGCAACCTGGGACCCTCTGTGCAAAAATTATGGTTTCAGCTAGTGTCCATTTCAGAGAAATGACAGCAGCTTCATCATTTCATCCTTTTGGATGTCCACTGTACATCGTTGTTACCGTGAAATCAGAAAAGCCCAAAATTGACCTGTTTTTTGGAGATGTTGGAAACGTTAGACATGTACCTGAAAACTGCAGCTTGACTAAATCGCTTGTAGTTAAGAATCAAGGGCTCTCTATCGTTCCAGTTCGATTAATTGTTTCTGGGGTAAGAGAAATGTATTTTTGGTATTACCTAGGGAAAATGTGCTTAATGATGTAGAATGACATTTCATTTTTAAATCCACGAGTTTTTCTAGATAAAAATTTCATATTTGCTTGTACCTTTGAACAATTTGTAAAATTTGTATTTCATTACAATTGTGCAGCATTTTGAAGTAAAGTATATACATTTTATAAAATTTTTATATGTGTAGAACAAAATAATAATTATTAATAACAGATAATGTAAAGGGGACAGTTTAATTACTTGTCCTTGTAATTACATTGAAAAGTATGTTGGTATTACACTAATTAGAAGAGTTAATGGATAATTGGAGATTTTATGTTCTAGCTATTACAAGAAACAGATATTGGTATCATATAACGTCGGTGTTCAATTTTATGAAGAATAAATATCAGGTGACTTGTCAGACCTAATATTAGAACATTTAGTGGAATATAGATGTAAGCAAAACAATTTGTTCTCAGTGGTGTGAGACTGATTAATAGTGGAGCATGCCAGTACCTCATTAGCATTGTTTGTTATATCAAAGTTATGTAAAAAGTTATTATCACTTTTTTTGTAATTCTTTTGAATAGTGTAGTTTGTCATGGGTAGTGGGAAATTGGCCAGTTGGGACCTGAACTTCATGTAACATAATTATCTGAATTTCTTGTATTACTTTTATATATCATATACTTTTATGTGTATATAAAATTCTGAGATGATACCACACCTCTGCATGTTAAGCTACCTTTCCCACACATCTGCCTCAGAAATTTGCATGCCACTAGCCTTAAGGAAACTTCCATCTAATCTCATGTGATCTAATATGAATTGTGCTATTCCATAATGACATTATTATGCAGCAAAAACCCTCCACCAATAGTAGGGTGACATACCTCCATGTGCACTAACTCCTTCTATGCATTTGTACCCAGGAATATTCATTCTTCTCCTTGGCACTATATTGATCAGATGTGAGAATAAGGCGTACTGTTTCTATTTCAGATCCTCTTTTCCATTCATAGGATCCAGCCAGATGGCTGATGGTGCCTCCCAGGATATACGTATTTTCCAAAATCTGCATTGAGCATGGATAATGGAAAGCATTCATACCATCCACCCTGGCTCCCATGTATGCCCACTGTGAGATGGGGTGTTCTGCAAAACCACTTGAGGTATCCTCATGGCGTATCTATACATCTGACTTTTGTCCCTTCCAGACCATACTTATTCCATCGACTATCGTGGGAAAAGCCAGCACCAGGGGGTGTTATGCTCATTTCCTTGGTTCATGTTTGCTGGTTTTTCAAAATAAGATTACATGGTCACCCATTTCACTGTCTCTAGTAAAAGACCTTTCTGAACTGAAGGACCGATGATAATCTGGGCATTTTTGCTGGGTCTCCCCAGTGTGAATTCCTCCCTCCTTTTCTCATTGAGTGGAGCATGAGAGACCCTTTTCACTTAGTAGTTTCTAGCTGTTGGGGTGGTGGACCATGAAAAACCCTCGCCAATTGGGAACTAACTGCTGGGGCTAGAACAAGAGATGCCAATATGGTAGGAAGTGGGGGCAGTGGTGACGCTGTCAGTTTAATGCAGGTCACCCTCATATAGCTATGTCACTTGTGTCCTCCTCTTATACCTTAGTCTGTTGAGTTAAGGTGAGCACACACTATTATGCTGTGTCCTCCTCCAGCAGCCAGTTTGTTCATTAGAGTTCAGGCAAGCACATAATATGATACTGTGTCCTCCTCCAGCAGCCAGTTTGTTCATTAGAGTTCAGGCAAGCACATAATATGGAGGGCACAGTAACCATGCTAAAGAGAGTGGTATAATGTGTGTACACCTCAACTCAACTAAGAGACATTAGCTGCTGGAGGAGGACACAGTATCATATTATGTGCTTGCCTGAACTCTAATGAACAAACTGGCTGCTGGAGGAGGACACAGTATCATATTATGTGCTTGCCTGAACTCTAATGAACAAACTGGCTGCTGGAGGAGGACACAGTATCTCCTGCAGCTGGTATCAGTCCAATAAAGTCTGATTGTAGAGTTGAGGTGAGCACACAAGGTAAGATCTGAATGCACCACAACCTTGCTACACATATTAGCTTTCCGACCTCTTGTGTGCAAGTACTCAGACGGCCATGTTTTTACTCCACCTATCTCTGTGACACGTGAGGCTCACTTGCCTCTTCCTCCCTTTCTTCTCAGGTGAAGAGTATACCCAGGAAGACGTGAGATGCAGTCTTCCACGGGTATGCCCCTATGGAGCTTCTGTCATTGGGTATCACACTCCGTAGACCTTCTGAAGGAAGCTCATCTTGGTAAATCTTTGCATCTGCCCCCACACATAACTTTATCATTGGATTCTAGCTTAAGTGTGTGCAGAGATGTGGTATTCTTAGTTAGCATTTTCCTTGCCTGAAAATGTTTTTTCGATAGATACATACCACTTATCCTGCCTACTTCTGATGCACCTTTGTATTCCTTACCTTGTCAAAGGATGAAGATTCACAAGTGCAAATGTGTAGAGGAAGTTAGTGCGCATGGAGATTTGTTGCTCTCTGTTTGGTGAAGGGCTTTGCTGCATGATTACATCATCATGCGGTAGTGCAATTTATGTTAGATCATGTAAAATTAGGTGGGAGTTGCCTCAAGGCTAGTGGCATGCAAAGCTCTATAGCATACACAAGGGGAAGGTACCTTAACTGTGTGAAGAGGTATCTATCAGAAATACATTTTCAAGAAAAGAAAGTGTTAAGTTTAAAAATTATATGATAATGTATAAATTTAACATACTTTTTATATTTTACAGGACATGAAGTCAAAACATGATTTTTGTTTTGATGTACAAAATTTGGAAGCACAAGAAAAGTCAACACAGCTAGTCTCTCCAACAATACTCTTGTGTCGTTTACCTTGTGCTTCAGAACTTGTTGTGCCACTAGTGTTTAATACAGGTTTCTTGGATGATGGGAACCTAGTGGGTAGGTGAAGCTGCAGTGTTTTGTTTAATAAATGTAATCAGGATTCTGAGAAGGATTTGTACTTTATGATGTAAATTCAGTGTATACTGTTCAATCCTCAGTTAACCTTTCTTATTAAAAATGTAAAGCTTATGCTAATTGGACCTAGTCATGTTCTCCAATAACCTTTTATTTTTATATATCTATTTAACAATTATCATAAGCATAGATATATTGTTTTATCCTTGCAATACGTTGTTGCTTTATTTGATGTAATGAAAGATTTTGTTTCAGATTATTGTCTTTTATTTCAGGGTATATGTAAAAGTAAGTTCTGTTCAGGTTAATTTCTGCAAATATAGTTATTTTGTTAGTAGGAAATTCTGGTAACAGTGTTTGATAGTGCACTGAAAGTTTACTGAAATAGTAATTTGATCTATGAAACACAGAACGTTTAATTGTATTATTGAATTTTAAAACATTTCAAGAGTAAGCATATATGATTTGTGGGTTAGTTAATTTTTTTCCATTGTAATTATTTTCCAAATGTGTTCTAGTTTTTAGACATAGACAAATCCTGCATGTAGCTGTTCAACACGTTATTTTTAATGAGAGATTTTATTGTTCTCTATGTAATTCTTTTTGTTAGTAAATGATGCTTGTATAGCTGCCAAGGAATAATGAAACTAGTTATCCATTCTTCATTAAAAATATAAAACCGGATTTTTTTCTAATTCTCATATGTGGCAAGTTGATCCCTGTGGTATTTACTGTAGCTAACAAATTAATTTCCTACTCAAAACACACCAACTGAGGGTTGCAGGTTTGAATCCCCATCACTGAATGTGCTAGTCCTTTCACCCATGGAGGCATTATAATGTGAAAGTCAATCCTACTATTCGTTGGTAAAAAAAGTAGCCCAAGAGTTGGCAGTGGATGTCTTTGACTTGCTGCCTTCCCTCTAATCTGTCATTGCTAAATTTGGAATAGCTAGTGCAGATAACCCATGTGTAGATTTGCACAAAATTAAAAAAAAAATCAGTCAAATGAGAAAGATAAAGGGTTGATGTGTAAGTTGTGCGAAAACTAATGCTATATACACATAGAACAAAACTCATGATATAAATCACTAAAAGTTAACTACTAGCATGCACTAGTTTTCTTTTATTTTGCACTAATTTGTTTTGATGTTGATGTGGTCCGTATTATATTAAATATTTCTTAATAATTTAGAAAATATATCGGCTTCAGTGACAGCTATGTTAGAAAGTACAGTTCTGCCTGAAGTTTTAGGTTACCTCAAGTGGTCAGCTGTTATTGGAAAAGTCAAGTTGATAACTAAAACCCCATCTGAGGTAAAGGTTTTTATACTGTCGTTGGTGAGGGAAGATTCCCATATACTTTTATAGGGTATTGCCTAATTTGTTTTATCATACTTAAATGTTTGATAGGTTATTTCTTCTTCAGATGAAACTGTTTGATAAAGCTTTTAGTGAAGTTTCTTTGTCAAATGAATGCAGTACCTAAGATGATATAAGTAAAGATTAAAATTGTGTCTAATCAAACTTAACTTTTTTTCTATTAATTATAGATCACATCTTTGAAAATATATTGTTTCCATAAACTGTTACATCATTCATTTTATTGAGAATCACATTTATAAGGGCCCATAAAATAATGTAATTCTAAAATTTTAATTTCTAAACTTTCAAAGTGGAATTTGAAAAGGGGGATTGCCTAGCTATTTTGTACTGTACTGTTAAAATTCATCATAAACATTTTTTTTTTCAAGCCTCCCAGTTTTTGATTTTATAAAAGTTTTTAAAGTTGTTACCTTAATGTTATTTTTTATTACAAAAATTAGTTTCATATTACAACAATGTAGCTATATTGATCATATGCAGTTTGCATTCTAGGCATCACTAAAAAATCATGAATGTATGATGTAACACTCACTTTTTTTTTCTTTTATATATATATATATATATATATATATATATATATA